ACCTAGTCATGGTTAGCCGCCAATATCTAGACAAATAATTTTTAATATTTAATACTCAGTAAATATAAAATGAAAACATGTTTTAGAATGCAAATCTCTATTTTACTTCAAATAAAAAAATATATAAAATAAAAAAAATAAATTTAAAAAAATTGATCACAAACAACACCTAAGTATTGCTCCATATTTCTTATGAAAGAATATGGCCCTTAAGCTTGCAGAGGGTACTTGATACCTCGAAGCATTATTCTCCTATTATCCTTCTTTATTTTAACCAATGGACTAATCCCTAGGATTCTTCCACATAATACCACATACTTTATCAAGGTCTTTGTTGAGGCCTACAAGAAAATAATAGATTCTTTCTTCTCCACAAATTCAACGTACGTACTTGGCATACTCCCCAAACCAATTATTTATTTCAAAAATATCCAATTCTAGAAAAATAATTGTGAGTGTGATAAATAATAAAAAATGTTATTTGCTACTAATAACCATGCCTAGCCACCAATGTGTAGAGATAATATAGCCCATAGGCAAGTGTAAACCCATTGAAAACCACTTGACCTTAGTACTTATAAATCAAGCAATCATGATAAAATTTTATAGTGAATGTCAAATGATAAGAAACTAATTTAACATCATATAATGGAGCAGTCAAATCCAAGTATGTTGACCTAGTGGAACACACGTCTAGCATAAAACATGCATGGATGATTGTGGGATGCTTCCTAATGTCCTAGAATAGATACGAAAAAAATTAATGAATAATCAAATGGCATAAAATGATGAATGGGGCGAGCAATCCACTATCTTATATCCTTTTGTAAGGTAATTGGCTAATATAGATTGGAGAGTTCATCAGTAAAAGAATTCTTAGTCAAATCTAACAATGTGGATGGAAATGTTGTTGAATAAGGTGGTTAAACTCGTGAATAAACCTATAAAGTAGTAGAGATAGTATAAGAACTTGTGGAGGAAAAGGAATCGGTGATGCAAGTATGGAAGATAAGGGATAATTGAAAGGTGTTATCTCATAAAAGCTATCATTAGTTAGGTTTTGTTTGGGACAACTTTCTGTCTGCTTTGCTTTCCAAAATATCACCAAAGTTCTGTTTGGGGAATTGCTATGTTGTTGTTTTTAAAAATTTCTGTGGTAAAAAGTTATTTTTTTCAACCTGAGTTGTTAAAGTGTGTTGACTACCAGAAAGTTGTGGTCTAGCATTTTAAAAATAAAATAAATTTGTAATAGTCACCGTAGCTTTTTGAAAAGAGGTTTCTTCTGCAACAGCTTCACAACTACTTCTTTAAAGAGCTGCAGTTGCCCCAAACAGACCCTTAGAGTATCTATATGACAGGTAAGAGGATCATACGATCAATATTATTTATGAGTGTGACAATATGTAGAAAAATACAAATGTTAAAAAAAGCTAAAATGCTAGCAAGAAACATGAGCAAAGTAAACACAACCAATCTCGTTGAATGAAAAAAGGAATGCAATATGATCAAAATAAAGAGTGGAGATGAGTGAAAGATTATTGAAGAGCATAACATGATTGATAAGACAACAGGATGTCAAGATTGCAACTCTCCAAAATAGAAAAAAAAAAGTTTATATGAAACACTAATGTTCTAACAACATCAAGCATTATGAGATCCTTGCATTCAATAACAGCATTCTATTAAGATGTATATGGACAAATTTTGATGAACAATTCCATTCCTAAAGCTAGACGTGCAAAACTAACGCTACATATACTCTAGAGCATTATTAATACGTACAAGTTTAACTAAAGTAGAGAAATAAATTTCTATTTATTAACAAAAATTTTAATGCACATTAAGAATTTTTAATGAATATTTAATAAAATAGACCCAGATGAATCTTAAATAATCATTAATGAAAGTATAAAAGACAAGTTTCTAAGAATTTAAGCGGTATAACTCAAAATTAATACTTTAATTATTAATGGTAGACGGAAATGATGCACAATAGTGATGTCTCAACTGAAAGGCAGTACAATGACAACAAACTTGGGAAGAGATGAGGAGAGTAAATCTCAAATTATATTGAGAACTGAAAAATCCAACTAATAATGTCTATTAGTATGGATTAATCATGGAAGAGAACACAGAAACTTTATTCTTCATCAAGTAATAGACGGCCAACTTTGATACTTCCACCAATCATCTTACTCAAATCGAGATCCCAAAAAACAAAATGAAAAAAAAGAAATTCATAGAAAAATAAGTTTTAATAAAACTGAACAGACAACAGATTTAAAAAAATGGGACATATAAAATTATAGAAAGAATGGAGCATGGTGTTTCAAGATGAGAGGAGAAATCATCAGCCAACATGTGGGGAGTTGGACAATAGTTGTTGGTTACCTGCCATTTAAAAAAATACCTTAATCTTAAATCCATGATGTACCAAAAGAAACAATTGCAGCAAATTTATGGAAAAGATAGCATAAAAGGCAAAATGAATATCTAACTGTACAATATAAGGTGGTCATTGTCATGTTGAGAAATTGAACATGAAGAAGTACCAATGAATACAGGTGGAATACGACAGAGACATATTGAGTTCTTCAATAATTGCCAAGATTTACCTACAATGGTCAAAAGAGTGATTTGTAATTGACACTGTTAACAAGGTGAGAAAGAGTAGAGACCATCACCATGACCATATCATTTAAAATAACTATGAACCCCTTTTTCTAGCAACAAGAGCAAAATGACAATAATCAAAAGAGTGTGGAGTAGGTAACCCAATCACCCAAAGAACCCAAGATAGAGAAGTGGAGATATTTAAGATAGCAAAGTCTTCAGTCGATTGAACTTCAGTAAATTGCAAGGAGAAACATATGGAAGAACTTAGAAATCAGAAACTCCTCATTTTGCTTTTAAAAGTGGTTGGATTGGTGCTTAATAAATAAATTTCATCTCATTTTTTTTTTGTTATTATATTACTCATGAAAAAATATACCACCACATAAAAAAAAGAATAATTCAGAAAAAAAAAGTATGTACTTGAGAGATACCTTTCTCAAAAATTATAACGGAGAAAATCACACATTCTTTTAGCAACCTCTTAAACATAATAGTAGATGCAACACTGGGATCAAAGCTATTGAGCATTCACATAAGTAAAGCATAAATGGAAACTTGACATTTAAGCTATTACAGCGTCCATTTAATTGGGAGGCCGAAAGTCGAGATGACTAATTTTTTGGTAGGATATCGCGAGAAAATAAAAACCAATATACCAAAAACAAAGGGAGGCTGAAAGTCAAAATGACCAAGTTTCTCATGGGATATCGCGAGAAAATAAAATGTGATATGCCACAAAAAAAGATAGTTGATACTATTTAAGTGTACTAGTTATTGAATAACATGAATTAACACCAATAGTAAAGAAATAAAAGGGCAAAGTTTAAGCAGTCAGAACTTTGAGATAGAAAAAGTAATGAATTGTTGATCTTCAGACTGCATGAACTAGGATTCAAGTAAGTGCAAGCAGAGCAGCACAATAATAGGAGTAATGCGAAGCATTGAGTGGATCACGAGATGCTAGCAAAGGTCAAAGGCACAACATTGTGCATTGGTTGAATATGTGGGTGCTCTATGTTGAGTGCGAAGGCTAAGGGATCAAGCAAAGAGTCTAGTGCCTCGGGCATTGAGAGAGGCAACGTTGATCCGGAACTTGAGTTAGGCTAACCCTACGCTGATATCATGTTAGGTGACAAATCATGCTCTTTGTATCTTACTTACAAGAGTAACCCTCTATTACTAAATATATAATACTTTCTAACTTTAGTACTTCTCTAAGCTAAAAACATCAATATCATCAACCTACTAGTAGTTTCTTATTAGTCATGGACTTGGAGCGATTCCCAGTGCAGCAAGCAATAATAAACTATTGTTTTGTTCTCCATAGAGGAAGTATAACGGACAAACATAGTAACACCAAAGGACTTGACATGGTTTACAAGACTTCTTGGTGACTTGAGCTAAGTCACTAACTATGTGATCTCCACTTACTGTAATAATCAAATTACAATTCAATGGCCTACGAATATGGTGTTTCATTCATGAACAATACATATCAAAGCAAATCACTTCATGTAAATCTTCTTCTAGTTTTTGTTATGAACTAGCTTAAAATAAATATTTACAACAATTTGGTGATAGGCCATTTTCAAACAAGCAATCTTGGTGTGTCCTTTATAAGTTTAACACTAAGCGATAGCGTTGAAATTAATAACTCACTTCTAAAAAAAATTATTTGCCAAATCTTGCTAAGATACTCAATCTCCATATCTTGTTTTATTAGATACGACTTGATTTTATTCGATTTGATCTCTTTATATATTACTTTTTTATATGTCAAACTAGAATTCCTCTATCTGAGGAGGTCATATATAAATTTATAACTAAAAAAGAACAGAATCAATGCAAAAGTAGTATGCTAAACTGCACACAACAACTACCTATTCTTGTCCTGTCCCGTAAGCATTCTCTGAAGAATTTACTGTTCAAACGTACTTGCCTTCAAGTTAGCGGAAAAAACAAGCGTTGTATTGCTCTCCCTCCGATATGACATGAAAAAGATTTTTCTCTTTTTTTCTGGTGAGGGTTTGTGTGAGTTTGTGTACATTTAAACAACCTAAAAAGCATACAATACTAATATCAAAAAAAAATACAGAAATAAATAACCAACACCTAGGCCCGGACAAAAAATCTACCCAATCGAAGTTTTGCCAACGACTTCTACATGAAACGATGACAACTAACCAGAACTACAGTCTAAGCCTCCCCACCTCTGAAATTAAACCGACTCTCACATAGAGCCCAAACTTACTAGCGAAAAAGTGTAACTTGCTCCCAAAATCCAATTGTCAATAAATTGAGGAATTTAAAAAAAAAAAACACAGATTAGAAGAAGCTCAAGTAAAAATACAGAAACAAAAGGAGAGAGTAGAAAGCAAAAGCACCTCCAGAAATCTTCGACAGAATCGAATGTGTGGATGGGCCGAATAGAGTTGCCCCATGCAGCCTGCTTGGATTTAGCTGAGGGATTGTCGAACCAAAATGTCCAAGAGTGCTGTAATGGATGAAATTGGATCTTCGCCGCAGACGAGCCCTCATGCGACTCATCATTCAGAATCTCCCCTTCCTCCAACTCCCCTGTCGATGCGGCTTCGCTCTCCCTCTCTCCCTCCTGATCCAGCGTCAGCCCTGCCGCCGCCGCAGCAAGTTCTTCCGCCATGATTGACCTGTGATCGGAGTTGAAATGTGGATTAGATTGTCGAAGTGAGAAAATAAAAAAGCTTGGTAGGCAGGAGACCAGAGAAAAATTTTCTGTTCTGTCTGGACTTTAATACACCACTGGTAACGAAAAATTTGGGTGACAATGGCTGTACACTCTCTCTAACTTTTCTTCAACATATCTGTATATGAAAATAGAAGCCTGAAATTTATTAGAAGGTACAGATAAGTTATGGAGATATTACAAAGGATATAACGCGGTTATAACATCTCAGTATCCTCCCCGTAACTTATTTGCAAGTTACAGACGTACGTAGCTCTGCATACGTCTTATATACATAATTTTTTTCCCACTGGGACAGTGGAAAACTGACCGCGCTGTTCTTGTATTATTGATGTACGTAATAGAAAATAAAATACTTTATTTATAAATTATTAAACAAATTATTTTTTAAATAATAGATTACTATTAATTAATAATTAATTAATTTTATTAATTTGGAAAACACATACCGAAAATAAAATAATTTATTTATTAAATAAATTATTTTTGAAGTAATAAATTAATATTAATTAATAATTAATTAGTTTTATTACCTTAGAAAACTTATATTTGCAATTTTAAGCCCATGCCTCCCCCAACAAAAATAATAGTATCAAGACATTTTATTGAGGTCTTCTCTGAAAATATAACTCCCATAAAAATTAAAATTAAAATATCCATAAAATATATAGAAAAAGCCGAAGGGCAAATATATTAATATAGAAAAGATACAGAAATGTTGCATGAGAGGGCCTAAAAAGCCTAACTCATACAAAAAAAATACACACAAACTCAAATAAAGCAAAGATACTTAAAGGAAAAAAAGAAACCAAAAAGCCACAAAATGACACAAAAGTGTTGGGGACGTCCCACTTTAGTCCGCCTGTCTCTAGTTCTCGGAAGTGAGCCAGCTAACAAATTAATAAGATGAGTATCATTGCCCGTAGTAACCAAAGTATTATCCATCAGATTCCTGAGCTCAAGTGAGCTCAAGTGCTCAAGTAGATTTTCATTTTTCTTCTTTCTCCTGGATGTGTAAACCTGTCATTCCTCATCCGATGATTAACTCATTTGATCAATAGATTCCAAAGGTGGTCGGACTGTTGTAGGTCATTGCACATCATGATCCACATGAGTCTGAGTAACACTGACATCTTTGTGGACCTGATGAGACAGTCGTGAAACAGTAGAAGTATTTCCACTTGTATTATCGGTGATAGGTTCTAAGGCAGACGGGATCTGAAGAATCTCTCTCCCCCCACGATAGGAGTTTCCAAAGACGAGGTAACTACAAGTGGAGACTAAATGGTTGACATATTGCCTGCAGGGAAAGTGACGTCTCCAGGGTATCCTTATGATGATCAATAGTGTCAAAAAATTAGAGTTGATCAGGAGGAGATGGAATCACAACCTCTAGCGGAGCAGTTTGCTTTTTTAGTCTGAGGTGGGGGTGTAGATAATGAAGTTGAGAAATAGAGTGTCTGAACATACAACAGTTCGAACAATATGGCGGAAAAGGCTCAATCTCTACCTTCTGCCAATATCCTTGGTGTTGTGTGCCCAACCAGATTTCCTCAGAAGCAGGTAAAGTGATGTCTCTTTCAATAAGTACTCTGGATTCAGATGGACGGGAAAGACTAAAAGTAGAGATGTCCGTCTTGAGTTTCTTCACATACGCTAAGGCAATATAGTACAATACTTTTTCAGAAAAATAATGAAATTTCAGACCAGGGAGGCGAATCCAAACCGAAATGATTGGTGGTTCCGCATATGAGTCAAAATTCACAGACCATTTCAGAATCTTCATTACTCTGTTATTAATCCATAATATCCTTATGGCAAATAAGCGCATGTAATCATCTTCATTACTAATTTGAATAAGAATGTGTCTCCCATATAATAGTCCAATTTTTCATTCATTCTCCTCTTCATTACTAATTTGAATAAGAATGTGTCTCCCATATAATAGTCCAATTTTTCATTCTCCAACAAGGTGCATAAGTTCAAATTCTTTGGGAATGAGCTCCATTTTGGGATGACCATATAGAAATTTTTCAACAAAATTCAAATGACAGCAGGAAGCAAGTTGGATACCTTCAGCGTCTGTAAAAATTAATGCAAGCTTCCCATTCTTTCTAACAAGTTTCTTGATATCCTCCGCCCACTCAAAAGAAGAAGAGAAAGATGGAGATTTAGGTGTGTCTGAGGGGTGGACACCCGCACGGACAGCTACATACGATCTGTCCGAAGCCATCCTCAAAGGTAGACGCAACCTTTAGAGAAGAAAGTAGCCATGCTTAATGAGGGGAAAAAGCTTCCAGATGCTGTGATATATATATAATAATAATAATAATAAGATAAAAAACATGTCGTCGTTCTGCTCTGCTAGGGTTCCGCCCCATGGCAAACCCTAGCATCCTTCGGCTTTGGGATTTACTCACGTCTCTTCGTCTCGCGTTTACGTTTGCGTCTCATATGGCGGCAGTGTTGCGCCTTCGTGTCTGTGTCTCGTCTACAATAGAGCCACTCGACAGCTTATGCCTGCGTCTCTTTTGTGACAGAGCCGCTCGACACCTTCCTGCTTCTGTTGTGTCTCTTCTGCTACAGAGCTGCTCAACCGCTCGTGTGTCTCCTCTGCGAAAGAGCCGCCCAGTCTGCTTAGCTCTGTGTCTGTCGTCTGCGACAGAGCCGTTCGAAACTTGTGCAGCTTCTCACTGTGTTGCAGGTTGGGAATGGCTGCGGTAATGGACTCAAGGCTTTCCTACGCCACCACCATCACTGGTGACAACCCTTCCATACCCTCTTATGCTACAGTGGTTCACAAATGCAGCTCCCCTTTTCACCTCCCAGGTAATGCGGTATTCCCATAGATTTACCATGATTCTATTGCAAGAAATGGTTATTGTAATCTCATCAAAAAAGTAGAGAAAAAGGCGGGTAAACCAGTAATTTTCTTTTCTGACGCTAAAATTTCAACTCGTCAGAAAAATACATATTTGCACTAGTTGGAAAGTTCCAATTAGGTTGCCTTAAAATGGAGATCATCAGGAAGGTTTTTGTAGATTTCAAAATGGTTGGGGATTGGCAGGTGGGTCATTTCAACGGAAGGCATGTTTTGATACAGCTGAGCACAGAAGATGATTAGACGAGGATTTTCTCAAAGAAATTCATCACAATTGAGGGCAAACATATGAAATTGCTCAAATGGACTCCCAATTTTGATCCCAGTCAATAACCCCCAATTGCACTTATCTAGTTCTCATTATCTGAACTTAAGCTTCAATTCTTTGACTTACCTATCTTATATGCAATTGAGACTATCGTTGAAATGCAGGTAGACTTACCTACAGTTCATTTCTCAAGACCCTCTATTGCAAAGATTTTGATTGAACGAGATATTACACTACCGGATGTAGAAGAAGTCTGACTTGGATCTGCTCACAATGGTTATTGGCAAAAAATCATTATGGAACAAAAACCATACTACTGCAAGAACTGTAATATGTTTGGACACCCGCAGGAGAAATATTTCAAATTGTACCCACAGTTAAGAACCAATAGTCAAAAGCAGGAACACAATATTAATGCACCCCATGTGCCTGAACGCGCTCCCAATAAACCTAATGACAGCCAAACTGAGGAGGGAATCACCACAAGACAGGAGTTGGTGTTTGCCCCTAAGATCCCTTCTCCTGACCATACTACAATGGATAATGTTTGAACTGAAAATCTGGATAGGCTCGCAGCTCCTATTCAGGAAGCATCAGGTGCAGAGGTAATAATTCACACTTCACGTATATTGGAACCTATCGCGGTGGCAACGACTGTCTTTTCTCCTACTGTGGTGCTAACATCAAATCAGATCGAGGATCACATGAGCTAGTCTTCATATAAAGAATGACAAGTTTACACTTCTCGGGCGGAAGAAGAAGGCTGGGGGCTCACTCCAAGGGCTCACTCCAACTTGAACTCCAACTTGAAAACTTAATGGATGATAGTTTGGTGACTCCTGACAATGGCACGACTTTTTAAAGTTTGTTATCTGGTTTTGCTCCTAAAACTAGAGGAAGAGGCAGGACTAAACTGGCTCTTCCCTAGCTACTTGTTTTCTGTATGTGTAAATTTGTGTTACATTTTATTGAGTCTATTTGTATCTTTTTATTGGGTATTACTGTACTTGTATCTTATGGTAGGGTGCCTCTTTTGGGCTCTTCTCATAAAACCTTTATGTATTCTTTTACTATTTCAGTAAAATTAGCCCTTGGGCTTTATATATATATATTCCCCTGAATGTTTGTCCGCATTCACTGTCTGAATTTAAACTATATTAATTAAATAAATCTTTGAACAATACGTATAAAGCCAAAGTATCAAAATGAGTTGCATCTATAATTTAACAACTAAAATAAGTGAGATTTAGGACCTCCCTTTACCTTTAAATTTCACAGCTACATAATTCACAGAACCACCGATGAAATATTTCCAGCAAACCCCTCTATTTCCTATTGATTTTTACCAAAAAATGAAAACAAAACCCTTTAATAAAAAATGTGGGAGAGAAAAATAGAAAAGGAGAAGAGACAAAATGATGACCTAATGTTACCCACACACCACAGATCATCAATGGTGGGAGCAAGCGCATCGATAGGAAACTCACTTATCGTTAATATCATTGGCCTTCCTTTTGCTCCTCTATGGCTTTGGGGGGTTCTTCCTACTTATCACACCACCCATTCCTAGGGCTGCTCGTCGGAGTTATCGGATTTCGGACTTGTGGATACATCCACCTCCTTCTGTGAACTGCGACAGGAGGGGCATACGCGTAAAAAAGGAAAGCTCGTAGTAAGAGCAGACCGCGGGAAGGATCTGGCGGCCCGCGTTTTGCTGTGTGTTGGGGATGTTGATACACCAAAATATATATATCATTATGTACATATTTTTATACCTATTTTTAAGGATATTGCGCTTTAATTGAAGGTATTTGTGTATTTTTCTTTTAGATACAATTAAATGGATGAAATATAGTAAAAGGAGTGAAAAAAGATCAAATTTGGAGCAAAAAATGAAGAAGGTGTAAAAATGAACTGTGGCGCTTAAGCGCCCAGGA